TCTCTCTCTCTCTCTCTCTCTCTCTCTCTCTCTCTCTCTCTCTCTCTTGTGCGCGCTCTTAGTCTCATTGCTTTGGCTACCTTAGGGCTGCGTTCTCCGCACCCACACGGTAGACAATTTTGTGTATCCTGGGGCTTGGTCCCTGCGGGTTTCGCCCCGTAAGCGAAACTGGGTAATGCTCCCAGATGAGGACCCTGGCCTCAAAACTTCTGTTGGAAATATAAGCCTTGGGGACTGAGCCCATGATCTGAGAAAAAAAGGAAAAAAAAAAGAAAAAAGGAAAAGATACATGGGTGTCAGGGTGAAATCCAGCAACAGAAATGGCCAAAACCAGACCGCTGTCCTGATATCCGCCGACCCTGAAACCAAAACCCCAGGCCTGAAATTGCCTCACAAACCAGAATTGGCAGACAGCTTCCCTAAAAAGCAAAAAACAGAGAAAGACCCCTTTCCTCTCCCCCCCCGGGCGAGGTCCCCCACTTACCTTGGTCAATCATTTTTGACCGTTGATTTTTGGACTTCGTAATCCACTGTCGAACATGAATACTCCGTGCAGCTGGCACCTCGCCGCTGACCATCCATCTCATCTCATTTCATTTCCAGTCCATTCAGTCCCACACCACATTCATCAGTCCCAGATGCAGTTCGAGTAAGTCCCAAGATTCCAGAGTTCTAGAGACCCACAATCGCCAACAAGGAAAGCGCGGGGTGTCGAGGGGAGCCAGGCCAGAGGTCAGCCCAGGGGACGATGGGTCGACCCGGTTCAGGTTGTGGTGTGTGTCTACTTGGGAGGTGAGTGAGAACCGAAGTGGGACCTTCCCGCGGTCCCAAGTCCCAAGCAAAAAATTGGGACCGGGAGTCCGCCGCGACTCGTTTACTGTTGTGTCGTCAGGAGGCGGGGTCGGAATTGAGTCGAGGCGGGATCGAAGAGTGGAACGTCAAACTTGGGGGGCGATTCTCGGAAGTGCCGATGAAGTTGGGAGGAGGAGGGGGGAATGTAGCGGAGCGCCGCGCGGCGCTGCGCTTCGACTCGACAGCCATCGCGGAGACGGTCCAAGGCAAGGCCGCTGGCGCACGCAAGACGACTAACTGGCGCTGGCGCACGCAAGACGACTAACTGGCGCGAGTTGGCGGGAGCCGCGCGAGCGACTGGCGCTACGTGCGCGGTGTTTTGATTCGAAACGAATTCTCTCGATCAGTGGGGGACGAGAGCGCGACGGAGCGAATTTGCAGAGGAGAGAGGCGGCAAAGAGAGAGAGTGTGCGGTGTGGCGCTGCTCACAGGTAGGCAGGCAGGCAGGCAGGCAGGCAGGCAGGCAGGCAGCGAGGTATAAAGGCTGGCTGGCTGGCTCTGCCAAGCGCAGTCAAGTTGAGCAGAAACAGATGAAGAGTCCGATCAGCATCAGCAGCAGTAGCAGAGGTAGCAAGCTTTGGCAGAGCCAGCAGCGAGCAAGAAGGAGCAAGCAGGGAGCAAGAAGAAGCAAGCAGGGAGCAAGCAGAAGCAAGAAGTGAGAAACAGAAGCAGACTGTGAGGAAAGCGAGGGGGCCAAGGAGGGGGGCGGAAGGAAAAGGGGGGAATAAGGGGATGCGTCGGCGGATACGCAGGCGACTTATCCGCCGCAATCAAGGTGTGCTGCCGTAAGCGTGAAAATCTCGTCCACGTCATCGTCGTCCGCGTGTGTGTGAGAGAGAACACACACACAAAGAGAGAGAGAGAGAGAGAGAGAGAGAGAGAGAGAGAGAGAGAGAGAGAGAGAGAGAGAGAGAGAGAGAGAGAGAGAGAGAGAGAGAGAGAGAGAGAGAGAGAGAGAGAGAGAGAGAGAGAGAGATGACGATGTATTCGACGCATCATAACATAGCGGGGCCGGAGACGAGGAAGAGGAAGGTGGCATATTTTTACGACCCCAACATTGGCAATTACTATTACGGGCAGGGGCATCCGATGAAGCCTCATAGGATCCGAATGACCCACAGTTTGCTGCTTCATTATGGGTTGTTTAACATGATGGAGGTTTTCACCCCTCACCCTGCTGATAACAAGGACATGTGTCGTTTTCACGCCGACGACTATGTGGAGTTCCTGCGCACCGTCTCCCCTGAGAATCAGCACGATCATCTCCGCGAGCTCAAGCGCTTCAACGTTGGCGAAGACTGTCCCGTTTTCGATGGCCTGTTCCAGTTCTGTCAAGCCTACACTGGCGGCTCCATCGGCGGCGCCGTTAAGCTTAACCGTGGTCATTCCGACATCGCTATCAACTGGGCAGGTGGTCTGCACCACGCCAAGAAGTGTGAAGCTTCTGGATTCTGCTACATCAACGACATCGTTTTGGCCATTCTTGAGCTTCTCAAGTATCACGCCGTAAGTCCCTAACCTTCTCTTAACCCATTTACTTAACCATGTTGTACGCGTAACCCATTTTCTTAACCATGTTGTACTCGTTACGCATTTACTTAAACCGCCAGTACCCCAGGGGGTCTTAGACCCCCTCTGGGTAGGCTCTGAGGCAAATGCATATGGACCTGCGCGGCGCACCGATTTTAGTCACCGCGTTAACGGCCTAATAACGTGGAGGTACTGGTGGTTTAAACCATGTTGTACTCGTAACCCATTTACTTTAACCGTGCTTGCTGTACTGGACCTTGTTTGCTCTTTTTTTTTTTTTTTTTTTTTTTTTGACACATTGCTGTGGCGCTTTTCTGCAGCAGTGCAATACAGAGGCAACGCTTGAGGGGTCAGGTAAGTTAAAGTTTACCCGGCTGACCCCCGCCGTGGGTGAGGGAAAAAGAAAATTGATGTCATGTGGGCCCGAGGTGGATGGACCACAGATCAGATAAAATCAGGTTGTACTTAAACCCACCTGCTTAACCATGTTGTACTTAACCCATTTACGTCACGTAACTATGTTGCAATCAATCCATTTGCTTAACCATGATGTACTTAACCATGGTGTACCTAACTGTGATGTACTTAACCATGCTGTACTTAATTATCATGTACTTAACTCTGGTCTACCAGACCATGATGTACTTAAAACCATGGTGTACTTAGTCATGTTTAGTCATGGTGTACTTAACTATCATGTACTTAGTCATGGTGTACTTAACTATCATGTAGTTAATCATGGTGTACTTAACTATCGTGTACTTCAGCATCTGGTTAGTCATGGTGTACTCAGCCATTATTATGGAGAAGCGCAAACAGCCGCTTTTGGAAATCCATGGTGTATCAATACTGCTACGTCGATACACACTACGAATACAATATGCTTTTTTTTTTTTTTTGGATGATATGTACATGGACAATCTGTATGCCTAAATACATGTCTGTTCGCGCATAGACACATTCACGCGCCGGTGATCGCTCAAATTTAGATATTCGGCATGTAGGAATCTTCCTTGACATATCGTAGCAGTACGAGACACTAGACGATAATAATAGTAATAAATTATTAATTAATAAACTAAGAATAATACTAATAAAATATAAATTAATAAATATAAACAATTACATTTATCAAAAAATAAAAATAAATTACAGCAATTCTATGGTAATCATAATGTAACTACATAGTTTTTTTTTTTTTTTTTTTTAAATTTTAACTACATAGTTTTGTGTGTGGGTTTATAACGCTAAGTGTGTTTGGAAGATGGGGGGCCAGCCCGGGATGAGGGGCATAGATTATATACATCAGTAGTTCGCAAAAGAAAAGTCTGTCTGCAGCCCGCGTCTGATCGAGAGCGCAGCCTCTCTGATCAGTCCGGTGGGTGATTGGTAGGTTGGCCTAACTACCGGTGATTTCTGGCAAACAGAGCTGCTGCATTCCTTTTTTTTTTTTTTTTTTTTCCCTCAAGTTTGAAATGACCGCCTCCTGTTCTTTCTTTGATTGTGTTCTCTCTGTTTTTCCCCTTGTGTTTCTCTCTCATTTACAGGCATTGCACACTGTACTTATTTCCAGTAGTAATACGTCTGATATCATGTGACAGTATATATGTATAAATATATCGTCAAACAGAAGTGGCCGGTAAAACGTAGGCAGAGAAGGAGAAGAGGACAACAAACGAGCGGCTGTGACAAACACAATTAGTATGTATACGAATTATTTTTTCTTGTTTTCTTCTGTTTTTTTCGCCTTTGCGCTCTGATATTCATGTGACAATATATATGCCTTCTGGCTGTGTGCAAGTGGGTCGATATGACACACGGGGATGGGGGGCAGCCGCCGCTCAACCTACATCCACGTGGGCGGCCTTGTACGCAAGAGGAGGTTCTGAACAGGGGGAGTTGTAAGGAAGAAGATTAAAAATGAACTGATATCTTTTTTGTTTTCCTTTGTTTTTTTCGCTTTTGCGCTCTGATATTTATGTGATGATATATATCGTCAAACAGATAGATGTGTGTGTGTGTGTGTGTGTGTGTGTGTGTGTGTGGGTGTGTTTACAGAGTGCGGGGGAGTCTTGGAGGATGTTGTTTCCTTTTTTTTTTCGCTTTTGCGCTCTGATAACTTTGTGACAATATATACATACGTGGGCGGCCTTGTACGCAAGAGGTTTTGAACAGGGGGAGTTGTAAGTAAGAAGATGAAAAAAAATGAATAATTTTTTTCTTGTTTTTTTTTTCGCTTTTGCGCTCTGGTATCTTTGTGACGATACGTACATAAATATGTATACATACATACAATTATGCATGTAGACAGACATACATATATGCATACATACATACATACATACATACATACATACATACATACATACATACATGTGCATTTAAACGCGTGCGTGCATGATAAACGTATTAGCTAGTATATGCGTGCATATTTTCTACGCAGTTTGCATTCATAAAGTAAGGGGGAAAAAAAATACACTGTCAGACGAAACAAAAGACTGTCTGTGTGCATTGGGTTTTGTGGGGTTTTTGGATATCAGTGTACCAGATAAATATCATAAGTATGTTTTGTCATGAGGAGACGGCGAGCATGCGGGACCACCATGAAGCCATAGCCATTCGCTAACCAGAATTAAAGGCAAGCATGAATGGGGCATCAAGCATTAAGTAAGCCATTTATAACCATTCGCTGACCAGGTTTAGTAGCTTATCCATCATTTTTATTTTTATTTTCTTCTTGAATAATAGCAGCAGAAGCAGTCGTTAGGCTGCCAACGAAAACAGACCGATAACCATTTGTGTGGTGGTAGGTAAACTATGAGCTCCAGTGTAGTTCTATCTGTCGAATTTTGTCCTTGAAAGCGGAACCATTGAGAAGATGTCATGAACGTAAGACCACAATGAGGCATGTCTGTACATATTTATAACTATACATAAATGTGTATTGTCATACGTATACGTTTTATTGTAATATGTATACAGTTTGTCACAGCCCCCCCTCGTTTGTTGTCCTCTTCTCCCTCTCCGACTAAGGTTTACCGGGCCCACGTGGGCGGCCTTGTACGCAAGAGGTTCTGAACAGGGGGAGTTGTAAGCAAGAAGATAAAAAAATGAATTTATTTTTCTTTGTTTTCTTTCTTGTTTCTTTTCGCTTTTGCGCTCTGATAATTTTTTGACAATATGTACCTGACAGCTCTGTTTTCTTTCTGTTTTTTTTCGCTTTGCGCTCTGATAACCTCGTGACGATATGTATTTCCACTGTGACAATAGATATATTAAGGAAGAAGATAAAAAATGAATTTATTTCTTCTTTTTTTCGCATTTGCGCTCTGATAAATTTGTGACGATATATATGGGTTCAGCCTCCTGATGAGTGAGTCGGTGAAACTCCGACGAAACAGTTTGTCACAGCCCCCCTCGTTTGTTGTCCTCTTCTCCCTGTTGTCCCTCTCTGCCTACGGCTTACCGGGCAGCTCTGTTTGACGATATATATTTTTGGCATCCTAGATGGTTGTTTCTTCTTGTTCGGCCTGTGTGGGGGGCGGTGCTTTTATGTGGGAATCATAATCTGGGATTGTCTTTTATGTTTTTCGTCCAAGTACGAACGGTTTACAAATGGGGATACCAACGGATTGATGCCGAACAAGGCCATCTGCTGAATATAGATATGTAATTTGGGAATCCTTTTTTTTGCAGACAAGAGTGTTTTGTCCTGGGTGGTCTTGTCCCGTCGTTTGGCCTGTGTAGGACTGGGGCGGTGCTTGCATGTGGGACTTGTCATATAGGATCTGTTTTTTGTGTTGTTGCTTATTGCCCCCTGTTTTGTTGTATTTGGCTGTTCCCGTCCTCTCTTCTTTGCCTCTTTGCCCTTTGGCTGTGCAAGTGGGTCGATATGGCACACGGGGGTGGGGGCAGCCGCCGCTCAACCTACATCCACGTGGGCGGCCTTGTACGCAAGAGGTTCTGAACAGCGGGAGTTGTAAGGAAGAAGATTGTAAATGAATTGATACCTTTTTTTGTTTTTTGCTTTTGCGCTCTGATCTTCATGTGACGATATATATAAAATATTAATATATAAAATATAGATTTCTATATCTGTTTGACGATATATGTAAATACGGGTCACCCTATTTTCCTGGGCGGTCCGGCCGTGCGAGGACAAGGGAAGGTCCCAGCCCCCCCCCAAAAAAAAGAAATCCAAAAAATCCGAAAAAAACTATGTTATGCAGAGAAATAAACTGAACAACTTTTGCCTCAGGGTCACATCGAAATTCTTTACCGAATTTAAATTAAAAAATAATTTTTATTTTTTTATTTATTTTTGGCCCGGCCGGGCAAGTGGACCCGGGCCACTCTGGTAGCCTAGTATATTTGTGTTTATTATGTAGATTTATATAATTTATGTATAGACTATAATATAGCTATTTATGTATCGACTGACCGGTTCTATATCACGATATATAAATGTTGCGTGGTGCTGTTACGATGCGTGGTGTGTTCTGCACAACATGTGTGTTATGCACCGGTGTGTGTGACGAATGAATGAGGTTCCAGTTACTTGAATCTTTCTTACCTTGTTTGTTGTCCTCTTCTCGCTCTCTGCTTACGGTTTACAGGCAGCTCTGGTTGACGATAAATAGTCCTTTTTTTTTTCTTTTTGGATCTGTGGAATTTATTAGAGATTGTTATTTATTCTTATGTGAATGAATTTGTTCTGACTTTCATTCGTTATATATTTTTTTATGAATTGATTTTTATATTTTTTTTCTGATTTTTTAATAATCGATCTTGTTTTAGATTGCAATTTCTGGTATTATATAATCCGGTGTTATTTCTACTCTTATCATAATTTTTTATGGATGTAATTTGATTTTATTCGATAGCTACACAATTCCATGGCCAGGGTATAAAACCCTACCTTTGTTTGTTTGCCAGATAAGTTGACTTTTGAGAGCCATCGACATTTTCGTTTTTTT